CGGAAGTTTATTATCGTGTCTACAAGAGTTCGTCACTTGTACCTGCCCTATCTCATTAATGCAGTTCACACCCTCAAGTTATTTATTTAACACCTATTTTAATATGAATTCCTATGATCTGCACACGTCAGTTAAGTTACAAAAAAGGCATCTTAAAGATTACGCATGCTTGCATCCTGTTTAATACAATAAGAGGCATGTCCGGCACAAAAGGTGTGCTGCTGTACGATCAGCTTATCCGTCCTATGACGGCTTATTCATGGCAGATTTGTAAGTCCGATGCGTGCAGCCATGCCACGAAGCTGCAAGCTTCCCTCTGCTATTAACACGTCGTGGTGTTTTGGAAACAGGCAGATTCGGGATGCTTTGGGGTGGAAATTTTCGCGGGCCACATCAGAACACCAACTGTTGAGTTTCGACACGTAAGTTAGCTGAAACAGGGAACTCCTTAGTTCGGCAATTTAGAAGGTGTATGTTCAAAGGTCGAATTGCCTGATGGTATCCTCTTCATACCAGTAACAGCATTCCTTAGAAGGAACACGTCAAGGCCAAAGGCTGAGACAACTAAACCAGTCAACGTAAACAAATCTCGAGTGGTAGTTTGCAAGGCAATGTTTCAATAGTTCAGTACGCAGGGAATTGTTTAATAGATCAAGGGTCGATATCTTGCGCTTTGCACATCGCCCCGTCCTTAGACATTTGGATGGTTGAACCCACAGACATTCAGCCCCATTAAGTGGCAAATGGAATGTTTGGACGAAACATTTGTAACGCATTCAACTCACGAGCCCCTGAACCCCTAATTGGAAGTTGTTTGGTGTATATAATTTTGTGCATTTTAATCTGTACGTTCTTAACTACCAGATGAGAAAAGAACACAAAACATTCTTAACCAAATGTAGCACACTTCTATCGCTAATTGAGAATGATAATAGAAAATCACATTTATCGACTTACCATTGTATACGTTGTTTCTTATCGAATGACTTGCTATTAATGCGTGTGTTCGATAGTGCATGTTCTTCCCTTTGTCAGCGTGTATTAATATCAGAGACCGTGTTCGTGTAGAAAGAATACAATTATTGTTTTAGAGCTGATGCTTCTCTCAATCAGAACTTAACGATGTCTTTTTGTTTTGTCGATGATGATATTCGGGTTGTAACGCCGTGTATTTGCTGGATACGAACATTACACGGAAATATATCGCTCCATCTACAGCCCACCAAACCAAATTTTACGAAATTCAAACATTTAATCGAATATTTAAAGTCCAGTGATATATACATGTCCCAGCTGATTCAACATTCTGCATTTTGGTTTTTAAGAGTTTTGTATTATTTCCAGTATGAACAAAGATTATTTACAGTCGTCTTAACACTATTTTACTAGGCGACATATTTCGGACAGATAATCAATAGTGTGAAGACTGATATTATTTAATTCAGTCACAATATGACGCTCGGGTATTTTCTAAGGGATGATTTCCTTACACAGCTTTATTAACAGTTGATCTTTATAGTGGTGAAGTGTTATATTTTCTTTGCGGTACGGGCTAAATTATTAAATGTTATTGAGGCTAGCGTCGGATCTAAATTCTTGATAGATTAATCTTAAATTGAAGGTGTTTGCGAACTAAATGCAGAAAAGACTATCTGGACCTAAGATTGAGGAATTGAGACGAGGCTGCAAAAGATTGCAGTGATATTTCGCTTTACGTTACACAGGATAGTCGAGATTTCGAAACCTTGAAATCAAATATCATCGTAACTTACAGGTATGCACTTCGGCAGAATCGAGTCATTTCGACCACGCCCTGCATCAAGAAAAAGTAGTTGTTTCGTGGTCACTGAAGCACTCTGCGTGGTTTTCCTGTTTCAGATATGGTTACACGAAGCTTTATACTGACTGTGGTTGATTCAGTTTGGTATTAATATAATCGTTTTAGTCGTGTCTTTCTACAACAGTTCACATTCTTTTATTTTTATTCAGCTTTCGTGTCAATATACTCTTTTAATTTGGTTTTCTGACCTAGATGTTTATATATTTTTATTTTGTAGAGAGTCCCATTTCGGTTTATTTAGTTTAATCGAACTAAAATCTATGTTAGTGACACAAGTTATAATAATGTTATTATGAAATATTCTTCATTATAATTAAAGTATTTATTTCATGCGTAGATATTCGTGTCAGAATTGTCTTATCAGACGTTCCATTTCTTCTTTGTGTAATCTATTTGGGGGTATACTAATTATTTGTCTGTCTACGAATGAGTTTGAGATGTCGATGTTAAGTATTCTCGGTGATAACACCGTTGGACTTTTAGGTAAATACCAGGACCCTAATTATGGAGAGAGTATGTTCCTACAAGCCTCTACAAATTTGCTTATACATAAAAGGCGATGAGATAGACCATGAAATCTGAATTAAAATAAAGGCAAGGTCACAGAGACCTAAGAACAGGTGTGTAATTAAATGCGCATGTGATTTGTGATAAAAAGAAACACTCGCTTGTCACGTGACAACAGTCAAGCGCTAAGACATGTCAAGAATACATTAGATCAATCCCACTATGTCAAGTAGTGATAATAGACGACGGGGATTTGGAATATGAAATGTAGAATGTCCCATTTAAAACGTAGCCGAACATCAGTTACGTATTTTAAGGACGATAAATTAAATTTAATTATTCTTGATAGTACAAATACTATACATTCTTATGGAAATTTAAAAAAAACTGAACTTGTTCATAACAACCTTAATTCGACCCACGGTTTACTATCCTTTTATTTAAAAATAATATTAAATCGCGAACAGGTCGAATGTTACTGTAGGTTGCAATTTCAGTAATGCAGGTCATAAGGTCGAGAATCCCTTAACAGGATTACCATGGCAACGGTGTAACAGACACATATAATCCTAGTCATTATGCCATAAATTGAAAGAACGCTTCACAACGTTACCATAGCAACTATTGTAACAATATGCACAAGTGTGACGGACATGGCTTATAAAATTATGTAGTTAGTTACTTTTACGCTTATTATTACTATTATCTGTGGCTCTGCAATCGTTGACGGACCTTGACCTCACATATGGGAAGTTGCTTGATCTATTTAGACATTTGATAGCACTCCTTGGACGAGCGATCAGCTTGTCGCAAAACCTCTGCCTATTCAGGACAGCACAACACAGAAATACGTAGGCAAACATCCATGTCTTGAGGCGGATTCGAACCCGCAGTCCCAGTGCCCAAGAGAACAAGTCCCACACCTGAGATCGCGCGATCACTGTGACCGGCTTTATTACTGTACCAAATTGTAATTGCCCACCTGTAATGGCTAATTACCTGTATCAAAACAACGACAGCCATTTCTTTTATACTGGACAAAAGAAATGCCTCAACGAAAGTAAAATTTTTAAAACCTTTTGTCCCAAAGAAATTAGTACCTTCCGTTGAGCGGTTCCACTGCCTTTTCTGTTTCAGACATGCTGATTTTGTCATTTTGACATTATTCACGGTTAGGAAATTAAAAACGTTTCGCAATAGCTGTTTTCTTTTATGATGGAGAGTTTTAGCTTCCCGCCCAGCCCCTAAAGCTGGAGGATCACCCATTGTTGGCTGTCCGAGACTGCTTATTCAAACGCAGTTACATTACATGTCTGGATGCCGTCTCCCTATTCGCTACTATTGGTGACAAGGCACGCTAGGATCTTCAGAATTCGTACTATTCTTCTCCAAATATTAATATAATCAAATCAACGATAATGCGATTGGCGAGGTATGTAGCGCGCATGGGAGTACATAATTTTAGTTGGATATCCTGAAAGGAAGATTCCATTCGAAAGATATTGGTGTAGATGAGAGTACAGTGTTACGAGATTATAAATGCGCGCTCTTTCGAGTGCATTAACATTTCAAAAATATTCTTGACGCCCCGTCACGAAGGTCATTGTTGCACTAATGTGATTCAACAAAAACCTTTACCCCCACTTTAATGCAAAATTGAACCCCGGTTTACGCGGGCTCTTTACCTCCTAAAAACCGCGACACACAGACATGGAGGGCTCACGCTAGAGCGTAAAAGATGGCTAGACGATTCATTACCATTTACGTTTTATCCTTTTCATTATGATCTTCCATATATTTTATTAGAGTGATCAAATCAAGGGAAATAAAGTGGACGGGAAGGGAAATGCCTACAAAATTTTATAATGTAAACCTGAAGGAGAAAGAAGCGGTTGATGAGATGGATATAGATGGGAGGATAATATTAAAATGAATCTGGAAGAAGTAGGTTATGAGGGTGTGGACAGTGGCCGACTGTTGTGAGCATGGTAATGAACATTCTTCGTACTTCTTAGCGAATCCTGTACTATATTTAATTAACTGTATCCGTAAAATCCTTCTTTCTTTCTTTCAAAGGCATTTATATATTATTTTATTTGGACGATTGGGGATGCAGTGTTGTAACAGACTACATTCTGTTGCATGAATCTTCAAGAAATGAGAGTCATGGCCATATGTACTTTCACGGGAATGTTTTCTTTTTGTATCGAACAGTAAAACAATCTATTGCAACATTGTCTTCGCAAATCGCTCCGAAATACAGAACTTAAAAACAATTTTTATAAAGAAAATTAAATGTTAAAACATCGTCACTGCGTCATATGTTGAGGCTTGTGGAGTGGGGGCTGTAAACTCAGAACCCCGCCTGTTCACTGTATTCCCTACCCCTATGCCTCTTATTTCATCTTAGTTTTTCTCAGTCTCGTATGTAATGTTTCCCTCCAATTCCCCCCCACTTCTCTGTCACACCCGCAAGTTCAAATAATCCCTCTAAGCTGGTGGAAGCTTTATTACATACGTTCGAAAATACTTTCCGGCCAAAGTTCCAAGACAAGACAGGATTGCTTGCAGCCATGTCCCTTTCTCTCTGCATGCTGCTGTCCTGTTGGTGTCGTAGTACTTGCGTGTTCTCGACAGTTCAGTTCGTGTGCGAGTGAGACAGCGTCTAGAGCTTTGCTGGAGGTAGTGACGAATGCTGAAAGCAACGTGGTCAGGGCCCGAAGGTGGAGTCACTGACTGGTCGAGTGAATGAGGACTTTTGAGTTTTTTTTAATGAAGCCGGCGTTCAGTGTGAAAACTAAGCGACCTCTTTGAAGAAGCTGAAAACGATTTGGAAGCTTCTAAATCTCATGCTGAAGTAACTTATGTCTTGGCTGCCGTGGGTTTTTGTAGTGTAGTTGGCGGAAGAATTGACGCGTTCCACATATCTGTTACTGTGATTAGTCGCTGATTGGCGGACAGATCAGTATAGTACACGCTTTGATGAAGGCCAAACGTTGTGCGTTTTACAGGAAGGTTTGGGCTTAAACTAGACTGTTTTGAGGGCTGACGTTTTCAAGAATTATTTTGTGGTGTGATGAAAGGTCTAAAGATGTGACTGTTCTGTTTTGTATTGTAGATTTTCTCAACTGGCGTGTGACGTTGGATACGATACGCGATAGTGTATTTCGATTAAAGACAGTCGAACGTTACAGGTTATGTGATTGTAATATGTCGGATCGAGCTTGGTGTGTGTGTGTTTAATGTTTAATATATTTGTCGCAAAGGAATGTTAGTGTTGTGCTCATTTATTTTAATCTAGAACGAACACGTAATACGTAAATGTCGCAATTTATATGTAGCTCTGATAGTTTCGTTTTTTAAGCGAATTTAAAAACGTTGATTGTAAAATTTTTTATTGTTGAAAGATGAAAATTCATGCCGTAATTGCAGACAGGACTTTATGTACACACACTGTCAGTTCCAGGGATTTGTATTGTGTATTGTGCTGGTAATTGTCCTCCAACATCCCGCAAGCACGCAACCCCCTATTTGTGGTTTTAATATTTTAAAACTTGGCGGTGTAACCATTTATGAATATCTATGTGGTGTTGAAAGTTGTAAATTTTGTTTACCAAGTTAAATAATGTGCACCTGCATGAAGTAATCAGTAGAGCCTTGCTGCATTCTTATCACAACATACATACAACGCTAGTTTTAGTAACGACCAGTTAAAAGTAAATGGTGATAGCATTCCTTAGCAACCGGATCATTAAGCAGACAGAAGTGACTTTGTGCGACATACGAACTGCTTCAGGAAAAACAGTCAAGTCGACATTTACATTGTCCACGTGGTCTACGACGTACGTAGTTAAGTTCCGCACTGGAAATAAGTTCTCGTAATAACGTCAAATTAACACGTCACAGGAAAATATATTTTATTGAGCTGTGTAGTTGTTGAGTAACGTGGTATTTTTTTTGTGTGTGTGTTTATTGGATATGTTAGCAGGTCTGCTCAGAACTGTGTTTGTGTTTTATTTTCAATAAGTGATTCTAAATTTCTGGGTAAATATGTTGAACTGTACAGACTTAGAATGTATTTTGCATCACAACCATTACTACGAACATCTGCACCAGGTACAGCAGATGCAGCACCATCTACAGGATCATCGCGAACACCACGGTGAGTTACCAGATATCACCATAACCTAGGCACTTTGCCGAAATTCAAATAGAAACCGTGTTCTTTGCATGGCTTTCGTGTTAAATGTGATGATATTTCTAGCTCGGTTACTCAGAATTTTAATTAGTCTAACCCGAAAATCCAAAGAATTCAAGATTAAACTTTTATAAAACGTCCGCACTGTCTTCTGTTTACTGTCAACGATTTAGAATGACTGAAGTTATATTTATTTAAACGCCTCTTACATCTTTACGTTTTGGTGCTAAGCGCAAAAATAATTATCACTCTATGAATAAAATAATAAGTGGATAGTATCATAATCAACACTTTTCACCTGACATTGGTAGGGTGATTTAATCATGAAGGCTGCGATGAACTGGATTAGAAATGCATACAACAAATTTGGTTGTGAAATATTATCGAAAGTGACCGCTTGGTAGACCTAAACGTAAATGGGAAGATAATATTAATCAGTATTTACTTGAACAGATTCAGAGATTGCTGATTGAACTGACCCTTGGAAGGGTTTATGGGTGGACTTTAGTATTTACGGTAATGTAGAATTGTGGATTTAATGATAACAAGAATTCTGAAGAAAATTCTTTTACCAAAGAATGTGCTGCCTTTAGAAGTAAGCATGCTCTATACGAAACTGTATTAAATTGGTTTAATAAAAACACTGATTGCAGTATTAATCTCTGATCGATTTCGTGAGTCGAAAACCATTGATAAATTTTCAATACTAGTTGATTTATTCGTGCATTACATCATTCTTTCTCAACTGTTCACGTTATTTACCGTCGAATAATTAGTGAAAACGGTAGTGAATTTAAATATGGTAGCTAAAGTCGAATAAAGTTCCAGTTTCAAATCTCGCTCCACTTGCCGATTGTCCTAACTGGGGTTTTCCTCCAAGGAAATGTTAGGATGGTCATTTTAAATAGGCGCCTACCGCCACCTTCAATGTCCTTTCAAGCTTATTAGTCAGTTTAACATTAGACGCTACATAGTCTGAGCTGCCGAGTGCGTCGTTAAATAAACCGCAGAAATAGTAAATTGGGTAAAATAGGGGAAGAAATCGTCATCATTTACGGGTTTACTGTACGATATTTTGAGGTAATTAGTGTATTTTATTTAATGATAAGCGTCTGTAATTGAAGTAAAAATAAATATTTTTGTTGTGTTCAGAGGGAGGTCTATTAAACACTTTCGATAAACCCAATTTCTGTAATAGGTTATTGTTATGAAGGGGTGAAACAGTGGCCTCTAACGGTACCATTGCCCACCCTTCAGAATTACCAGAGTGAATATAGAGCCGCGGTGGAACGATGTTTAGTTTACGTAAGGTTTGTGTTGGGCCTGGTGTAGGTGCAAATGAGCTCTTACTCCATTCACACATAGAAGAAGGCAATGGCAAACCACTTTTGGATCATCTGCCAAGAACGTATATGAACAGGTCCCAGTCCGAGAAAAGGATGGAAGGATCCTGTTCATATGGACCTGTCGTCAGACAGAACACTAAATAAATAAATAAAAATCAAAAATCAGACGGGTCTGTTACCAATGGTTTTACTTTGCGGAACCAAATATCGATTGATGCATGCATTGTTTAACGATTGCTTCATGGGTTTCATATCGTTGCACGGTAGGATTATTTTGAATGACAACTGGAAATGATTTCAAAGAAATAATCGTGATATTATTCAGGTATTACCCTAGTAATCGCTTGCTTGTAGGGGCTGAAAAACGAATCTGCATGGTAGTCGATACCTCATTTCGGATTCAATGCTTGAAACACTCGGATATGAAACAGGTTTTTTTAACGACGCACTGGTTATGTGGGATGGTAAAATAAAGCCATTTGTGCTGCCTTTCGATTTTATTTTCTTGGATTTTGAGCAACAGCATGAGTGACAAGTTTGTTCTGTTCTCTGTTAAACTGAGAATTCTTCAAGTCATGGCTATAACCATCATCGTATATCATGCGTGTTCGAGTTTCTTTCGAAGCTGGTAAACAGTTGTCGGCCTGGATGGCTGATAAACTGTCCAGGCTAACGTCGTATGGGTTTGCTGTTCGCTGGCATTGTTCGTATGAAGTAAATATTTCCTCCATACCAAGTTTCCTTGCCCTTTGGGTACGTGGCACATGACTCAAGACACAAGGAAGTACAGCATTTGATGGGCGGACAGGTTTAAAAAGAGAACAGTGTTACTAATTTTATTGTGATTTACTCCCTTGCCGGTATACCTACAGGGCGCTCTGATGATGGAGGTATGAAGTTTCTCTAAAATGTAGGTAAATTTATACCAGACTACACGGCGCTACGACTCAAAATACAGCCAGCCATCTTCTGGGACTATGTGACATGGAGTTAGTTAAATGGAGACTCCAAGTTTAATTCTCTCTTTGAGGAATGTAAATTTGTGGCTTTGTGATTGGTCACAGAATCCAGCACTGCACATATGATTACCGTATGTTGTCTCACACTTGCTTTTACTGTTCGGTAGCCCTTCCGGTCTAATTCTCTTTGTTGTCATTTTCTATACACTCATTCTCTGCCCTGGTTTCCATCCAAACCAACGAGAAAGGCGACAGAGAATAGTCCCACATAAATTTATACTGAGATCAGATTTCTTGATTTATGTTGTGCCAAAACCATCAGTTCTCCCTCTCATGTCGATATTAAAAAACACGCCAAGAACCGTTATGATATTACTATTGGATGTTAGGTTTTTAAAACGTCCTTGTTACAATTAATGCTCACACCGACAAGATGACGACGTTATTCTGGGTTATGACGCCGTGTACATTCGTAGGTACGAGTAGTAGCAACCTCCTCCATCTTCGAGGCTGAAGTGGTAGTGCTGGGAAGTGTTGGTCCTTGATTAGGGACTCCGTAGTGGAGCGGAGCGTTACCTCATCATTCGTCGACTCTGATTGGTCCAGTTCTCACTGCGTACACTACCTCAGACTGTATAAACTCACCAACTCCTACAAACTCCACTTCAGTCCTGAAGATGGAGACAGTATGTTTCTCCGAAACGTTGGCATCTAACATCGAACGTACGCCTTGCAACCCAGAGGACTGACGTCGACAAACGTCTTCTACAGTTTTCTGTTTGTGTGGAAATATTTTGGGCACTCGTATGTAACACGTGAGTAAAAGTTCACATTTTTTTCTCTTTTACATTTTTCTCTCCGACTCTGAGTTTAAGACGATAAATTGCAGTCGATCGTATATCTAACACCGTTATATAAATCAAGAAGCAATTAAAATCAATTAATGTCTGAATGTATGTAAAAGAACAACTACTTTATTGCGCTATAGACGTTGATTTCAGTCGATTGGGGTCTGTTATATGTCTATACACTTCGCAGATGCTTTGTCTTCCTTTAATTGTGTGATGATTTATTTGTATTCTGTCGGCCTTCATTTTCTGCTGGCAACACCAATTTGCTATGTTGCTTATGCCTTACTTGCATTTCTATTGAGGTACAGGCTGTATAAAAATTCTGTCGCGTATTTTTTCGGTAACATACAAAGTTTTTTAAGCGATCCGTCTGTGAAGCTTTGCTTTACATTATAAAGCGATCTTATATGAATGGTGCATCCACTTTTATTGTACAGGGTGATGAAAAAATTAACAGTGCTAGACTCGTATTCGTGAAGGTACCCTCTTTGAATCCCGGGTACACAATACTGAGATTTGTCACGTTTTTTTTCCCTCCTTTTGATATTGAATGGCGAGATAATATAAGAATGCATGAAAGTCCTAAAATACTCACTCTTTATGTAGGTCTGCATATTCCCATCTTATTTAACGTCTGCAGGCACAGGGCAGCTGAGCAAATCGACAGTTGAAAACAGGAAAAACTTTGTAAATGCATTGTAACTGAAGGAAATTCTGTAGGATCGTATTCGGATGGTACCCAATTCTAATTTCTGCGAGTTAAGAATTAGCTCAATCTGTATTTTCCCCCTGTTATAGTTCCTCTATGGTATTAACTGCCGTGGCATACATAACATTTCTAACATGGTCCCATAAACACAAATTCAACGGGTTTAAATGCGGTGAATTTTCGGCCCATAGTTCGAAAACATATCTTCCAAGCACACGTGTATACATGGCCATTTATTAATGGTTTTGCACGAGACACACCTCTTAGAGGTGTTTTTTTACTTTAGAAACTCTGTAAAAAGCGTGTGTTTTGTGAACGCGCAGTCACCCGCCAAGTACGAAACACGTAAGCTCCCATCATATTTGCGCTGTCTAGGAAACACTCTGTATAATCTCTGCAGTGTAAAAGGCTCCATCAAATAAAGCAGGGCAGATTAAATTCATACGGGATATGTAGATAACAAGGGTTATTCTGAAACCGAACACACGTTTAAAGTATTAGTCCTTGGTCTTACTAAATACGCCATGTAACATGGTGTCAGGTTAAGACAGGGCTGTATTGTGCCATGGCCTTCACTGTGTTTTGTAGTGTTACGAAATACAGCCTCGAATAGTACGATGTAACATGTCCTATTGGTAAATATAAGGATGTGAATCTACTTAAATTTAATATCCCGGGATATAAGCCTTGTTAATTTGTTAAAATCACCGAAACGTCTGTGATTTGGCCCATGGCATGAGAAGTTTTTTTCCGTGTAAACCGCCGCGAACACTTTAGATCATACGATAGTTAAATCTGTAATTACTGAGCCCAGATTTGTATCAGTTTCATTAGTAAAAGCTGGCGTTAAAAATGTGCTTTTGCGTTGTTTTTTCCACTTTCATCTAAACCCTGAAGTCTTTCCCTGCCTCATTGCTGATAAATACATTTTACATCGTGTTATGTACGTTTTGAAATTCCCTTAACATTCTGAAAATTCATGTAAATAAGCAAAGTGGGGTCTGTGTAGGATTTGAGATTTTCACGGCGGTGAGTCTGAAGATGGCTGTCTTCTGGGTTGTTGCTTGCACCGTGTCGTCTGGTAGAAGTATTTGAATAC